GTTGATCTAAATCCTTCAAAATGCGGCACGCATTCTACTTCCATTTGTACATTCGTAGTGGCGTTTGAATGCGATGTGGCCTATACAATGACTTGCGGGGCCAGCCGATGTTCAAGTCAGTGTTTTTATCCACTCAGGTACCAATTAACCGACCCCGGAGAGATGGAGAAATGAAAGGCTTGGTTGGCTCGCTCGCGATCCCGGGATCGAATCCTAGGTCGTGCGTCGTCCGGGACCACTTGCCACTACACCACTTCTGCCATAGCTTAATCTAGGCCCATGAAAAAAGAGAAAAAATTACTGCCATTCAAGTTGTAAAACTCAAACAAACCGTTAGTGGCAAAATCAGCCGCGGCCTGCGCATACCGGCACAGTGCTTCTTGGTCAACGTTTTCACTGGACAGCAGCTGAGAGACATCATCGTTGTCCTTAAATCGTAGGAGTAAGTGTCACTAAGTCAAAATAAGCGATAGAGGATGCAAGAGTACATGTTTGCTCACAATCACAATTTACCTGAAGGATTACTCCCAGATCCAATAAACTTTGTTTTTTGGCGCACATCACGAAATAGTGCGTGTCATCCTAAACGACTCAAATTAGGTTTCCAGAGCCTTATTTTTCTTTTCTTCTAGAACACATACCTTGTAATAAACGATATTCTCTAAATCAACTCCTGTCTTTGCATACATCTCTTTGAAGAATGCTTGATTGAAAATATATGCTACACCACTGAAACATCGTGCCATTAGTAATCATGCGTACACAGAATTTTGAATAATTATCATAATTCATCTCTAAAAAATTGGAAGAAGGAAAGAAACTGTTTCTGGAGTGACCTTATTTCGGGAACCCTCTCCTCCGCAGGCGTCCTGTTGTTAACAAAATTAGCTGTTATTCCAATGGCTAATTTCCCACGCATCTCCTCGCGAGGAAATCCTATAAAAATCTGTAGTCAGTATCTATACGCAACTTAAGAGTGGTTTAGCTGTGTTTCTATTTAGAGCTGATCTGATAGCCGTTTTGTTGCACTTTTGTTTCCTCCGACTGCTCGTGAATGAACAGTGAAGAATGTTAGATAAGCGGGCCTGTTGAAAGACATCTATCACCATATGGTAGGCATGACTTGGCAAGTAAACGCAATTTATATCGTTCGTCTCATGGGACCTTGATAAAACTCAGGAGCGGGAACTTTCCTCTGAGTGCTCAATGATCTTGCGCGAACACCGCCACGGCAGGATTATAGTCCCTCCACGAAAACATGCGGAAGACACAAATGCATTCGATCACGATAAGCTCACGATTTCGGCAAACACGACTGAATGGCTCCCTCGACTCCTAACCGGTTTCGCACCTCAACTTCTTAATGTAGCTCTTGAAAAGAGTGGGATGACGAACGGGGATAGCCGGCCTAAGTTTGCTAATGAACGAATTGATGATCCTTAGAACCCGTTTAATCGATTGCTAATTAAAAACTTGCCTGGTATAGTATTTCGCTTCCCATCAGCTCCTATTAAGACGTCAATATCACAGTCGGCAAGGATATGTCCCTTAGGCTCTAGAGAGGCTCGAAAACCCGTAACTATAAAACATTTCTTTCAACTGTGTACTCATAAGCAACCGCGAAATGTAAACATTACCAATATTATCTACTTTCTTGGGGAAAAGCAACTGTACAAATGTAACGGAGTCATGGATTTGAACTCCAAAACAAAGAGCCACTTTCAAAAGTATACACTGCAACTGACGTATGCCTTAAAAACCAGTATTGCGAAACATGCCATCCACAACAAATACTGAAAAGACTCACTGATGTGTTCTATGCTACCGGTGCAGAATTTGGGATAGAAAATTTTGGCTCCTAATGATTTCAAATCTTGGATAACAAATTCCCAGAGATGCAAAACGTTGTTCCGGCTGAAACGGTCCCTTTGCTCCACGAGAACAACACGACATCCCAGCAAAGCACATTCGATAGCCGATCGTAAACCGCATGGGCCTTAAACGAGGTGTGCATTGGAATTACAGCAGTCATAACAGCCTACAATATAACCAACCTGCTCCTATGACGAGAACATTGAGCAGTTCACCAGCTTTCTGCTTCTTATATTCAGCAAGTTCCCATTTCTTATCCAGCAATTTCCACAGCTTTTGCGCCTTCCAATCATTCAGTAAGCGTAGCCTAAGAAGGAGTGCAGAGTTGAGAACACCGTGAATCAAAAAGCGTCACCAAAAACGAAATCGGAGTTTGAAAAGTGCAGAATGTTTGTAGCCTCACAATGACCAACCATGTAATTTCAGCAGAAAAAAAGTTGCTGTATGGAACCTCTACTGCCCAGTTACAAAAGGCACACACCAGCTTTGGAATTGTATGTTATCCTTCTCCTAGAGCAGCAGGAGGAAGGGAGGGGGACCGCAAAATGGAGGACAAAATCGGAGAAGAGGACTGAACAAGTCAAAAAGAAACTAATTCACAAAAACAAATAAATAAGGTGTCCATTCCTCTCCCCTGTTAAGAGAACAACGTACGACCCAACCCTCAACATGTATGGTGTTTAAGCATGAGATCTCATAAAATTGCTCGAAAATATGTTCGAGATGATCGACCCCGAAATGATGTCGTCTGATGCGCAGTCACTGATCCTGCATGCTTTGTGAAAGAGAGCGAGCGCATTAGGTGAAACTTCC